TTTTTTTTTTNTTTTTTTTTTTTTTTTTTTTAATAAAAATTTTTATAATATATTTACTTAATATATGCAAATATGTTAATTTTAACCTTTTTTTTATTATTATAGTAAGTTTTATTTGTTTAATATATTTATTTTTTAAATTAAACTAAGAATTTCTTTTTATTGATTTTTGTTATTTTTTTACTTTACTTATTTAATTAAATTTTTATTGGTTTTATCACTCTTATTATATTTATAATAATCAGTTTTAAAATAAATAAAGATAAAATTAAATGTATTTTCTTATTTATTATTAATTTTCAAAATTTATTTAAAAAAGTTGTTGAAAGATTAAAAATGTTTATTTTTAAGAATATATTAATAAATAATTAATACATATAATTTTAGTAATAAAATAGATAAAAAAAATATTATTTCTAATTTTATTTAAATAATAATTATATAAAAAAAAAATTATAATTTTTATTTTATATTAAATTTATTATTAAAATCTTTTAAAAATACTTAGTTTAAAAAAAAAAATTAATTCGGAATATATTATTTAATACATTAACAAAAAGATTTATTTTTTTGCTTTATATTTAAATTAAATATTATATCAGTACTTTCAATTAGCATTTTTTTATTAGAATTTCCTAATTAATTATTATTTCTGGAGATAAAGGTTAATAAATAATTTAAAATTTAGAAAAATGTATTTTAACATTAACATAAAATATATAAGATTTATACATAAGATGATTGATTATATTATATTCAATATTTATAAGTTATATCTTTTAAATTTAATACCAAAACCATATTATGGTTGAGTTTATTTGCATACGTAATATATTTATTAAAATTTGCTTATTTAAGCTTAAAAAAGGGTTAATTTTAAAAAATATGATGGATTCCTATTTATTTTTTAAAGTTAATAAAAAATTATTACTCTTACTATTTTTTTTGTTAAATGAAATGCTAAAAAAATATTAAAAAAAGTGAGTTTTTATAAATATTTATTGATAATAGAAAAAAATTATAAATATTTACTTATATTTTTTTATGTTTTACAGATATTTATTTTGTATTATTTTTAGTTTTTGTTCACTAATTAAAAAATATATTTATAGTATTTAATTAATTAAAATAATTTATTAATGCAGTAAAATATATAACTTTAGTGCTATTAATAATAAGCATATTTTTCTCAATGTTTTTTTTTTTATTGGATAGTCATATTTATTTTTATATTTAGCGTTGAGATATTAAAAATAAAAACAAAACTCCTTTTATTAATTATGCAAGAAATAATATCTGGTATCATATTTATGGTTGTTTTTGGATGTTTTCATTTATAAAGGCTTTTAAGCTTTTCCTTAGTATATTACTTCAACTATCACAAATATATGGCATTATAGTAAACCTAAATAATTAAAAAAAAATATAATTATATAATGTGAAACTAAATAAACTCTTATGTCAAAATTTTATAAAATTCCATTTTTTAAATTTGATTTCGAAAAAAGTAAATGAAAAAAAATGAAATAAAACTTGTAAATTTTTATTTTAGAAAACGGATTTCGAAAGTAAAATTTTGAGAACAATATTAAATAATTATATAAAATAATATAAATATTTTAAAATTAAAAAAGCAAATAATTAATACAATTATAATGTATTAGTTTATTATTAATATTTTTTTCTTTATGTATTTGTAAATCATAAGAAGTTATTCTTTAAATAAATATATATAAAAAAGTATATATTTAATTTTTCATTATTAAAAATTAGTACAAATTAATATATATTACATTATAGTAATAACTTAAAGAACAAAGTATATTTATATTATTTTTATTTTTATTTTTAAATTTATTTTTATTTTATTTTTATTTTTATTTTTAATTTTATTTTTAATTTTATTTTTAATTTTATTTTTATTTTTATTTTTATTTATATTTTTAATTTTATTTTTAATTTTATTTTTATTTTTATTTTTATTTTTAATTACTAGGAAAAATTTTATTCAAATATTGATATATATATATATATATATATATATTATATATTTATATATTTATATATTTATTTATTTATTTATATATCCTAAAAGTTTTATAAACAACAATAAAAGTATTATATTTTAATATTTTTGTTCTTTAATTTTTACTTGGCTGATTTAATTAAGTGAACATAATTAATTTTTGTTAAAAACTTTCTATTAGCAGACAAAGTTTTTTTTTTATTAAATTATTTTATAATATAAAAAAATTATTTATCGCTTTTTTTATATTTTGTGTTCATTATTATAATTAACTATTATATTTTTTATATATTTATAAATACTATTTTTTTTATTTATTGACACAATTACATATATCTAATTAGATTTATGAATTATTTTAAAAGTAAAAAAATAAAATAATTCCTAAAATAATAATTTATGGTATTTAAATAAAACTTTAATCTTTTTTACAAAATTAATTTTGTAAATAAAATATTTTATATTTTTTTTTTGAAAACTAATTATTAATATTAATTATATTTAATAATTTTTTTTTTTTTTTTATAATTAACTTTAAAAATAATTTTTTACAAATAAATTTTTAAAAAGCTATTATTTTTTATTAATAACATAGATTATTTTATATAATGATAATTATTAAATTACTTTTTTTTAAAAAAAAAAATAATCAATCATTTAATGCACAAGCTAAAGCAGCACCTTTCAAAATCCAATATTCGGGTTTTTTCTTGGTAGGTGTATCAATACCGATAATAAAGTTAGTAGAATGTCCAGTAGTAGAAAGTGTACCAGCCCTAAGAAGAGTCTTATAAACAGGCATTTTATAATCTTCATGTTTCGATTTATAATTTTCTTGAGGAACAAATTCAATAATAGGAACTTAAGTATACATAACACCAGGTGCACTATCTTCAAGACATCCTTTAGAAACATCAAATTAACATCCTTCAATAAAAAGTCCGTAAATAAAAGCTCCATTTTATGATTTATCCATGATTTATTCGGATTCAATGTATTTAGAATATTTAAATTAAAAGTTCAGACAATCAATAGCAATTTTATTTTATCTTGCATAATTTTATAAAATAGAAGTTAAGAAACCTTAAGGGAAGAAAAATGCAGGCAACCAAAAAGTTTTAGGATAATTATCTGCAAGAAGCCAGTTTCTGAAAAAGTCTGTCCTTTTTATCAAATCATCAAACCAACTTGAAAGATTTTTCAATGAAGGATAAGATTTGCCTTTCCACATATCCGGGACTTAATTGTTTATTAGGCTTTGGGAAGCTTTGTCTAATTCTGCACTCATTACAACTTCACCTTTTATTGCTTTTTGTAAGTTCTATAGACAAAACTTTATAACATTTAGTAATTTATTGAATCTTTCACATTCTTAATTTAAACAAACTATTAAAGAATCTATTTGCTCATTCTTTTTTAAACCTAAACTTGGCGTGTCTTTCTTTAGTAAAGGAGGTAGCTTTTCTTCGAACATAATACACATTTCTTCTAATAATTTATCTGCGGATTTTTCGCCTTCGTCTCCACTAGATGTACTTTCACGTGGCTAAATACCTGCTATTGTATCTAATGCAATTCTAGACTCTTTTAGCTAGAAAGCAATATTTGCATTTTCATGCATTCCAAATACTTCAGGAGATTCAAAGAGAGGGAAATTTTCTATAATATTTCTATAATATTATAAATCGCCCATTTTTGGTGAATAATAAATTCCTGATTCTGAAAAGTTAAATTTATCTTTTAAAACATCTTCATTTACATAATTATTTAATATTGACATTAAAGTTCTTCTATCCCAATCATCTGTAACTCTTCCTCCATAAGTGATTTATCCGATAACGTATCTTAAAGCATCCCAAGGAATTTCTTCATTTGCTTCTAACATATCTTTAAGAATTGTAGTAGCAGTATCTAAATCAGAATCATTAAATTCATATCTAATGTTCCAACCTAAAGGACCAAATTTTCTTCTTTCTTATACTATTGCATGGAAAAAAGAGAGAGAAAACAAAAGCTTTTTCCAATGTCCTATTTTGCTACATGATTCAAATCTTTCTTCTGAAATTTCTGAATAAGTTTTGAATATGTTTGATTTTATTCCTTTTGGTGGTTCGTTTGTTAATTTTATACTGTTTTGTAATATACTTACAGGGAAATAATCACAAGGCATAGATGTTAAAAATAAACGAAAATCCGAATTAAATTCTTACTGTTGTTCTTGCTTTTCATTATTTTAGGGAGGAGAGATTATATTAGCTATTAACTCTTCAAGTTTTTACATAAATGATTTACCCAAATGACAGTTTTATAATATTACCCAACCTCCTGTTTTTAAACCAATTTCTATAGCTTTTTATGCAATTGGACCTTGTCCTTAACCTAAAGAAATGATTTAAAGTTTATCTTATGGCATTTTCATATCTTTTGAAAATCTTAATAAATTCAAAAGAGGATCAGCGCCTTAAGAAAGAATAAATATTAAAGGAGTTTTATAATCAGTATCTTTATAAACCTAATTTTTTTATTTTTTTAAAAAATGATATAATATTTAATGCTTTTTTACTTCTTCCATAACTGCAGCAGAATTCGAAGAGAACTTTTTACCAAGTGAAGATTCTACATAATAACTCATAGTATATTGAGTTTTTTCTTCCCTAAGAATTCTTACAAGCAGTAGTTTCTAAAATGGTGTAAGTTCAGTTTTAAATTTGGAAGGCAGTTATTATAAAAATGGTTCATTAGATTATATCCAAGTTTCCCAATCTTTCGGTTGATCTTTAAATGCCTGCAATAATACTGAAAAAACTTATAAACTCGAAATAGCCACAACTTTACTCCAAGTCTTATTTGATATATTCATATTATTAGGAGCAGGTGGTAATTTATCTTTAAGAATAGGAGGACCTCTGCAAAAAACTTACCATTCTTACTTAGAGATAATACCTGAGCGAATTTATATCGTCGAGCTTACCATAAAGGAGAAAATTCTTTTATGATCATTAAAAAGTCCTCTACAAACATTCAAAAAAATCGTTTGAGTAATTGTTTTTATAAGTATATCAACTCTAACATTTATATCGTTGGCTTTTTCAGAATTTTCAATTATTAAGCTAAATAATCTGCTAAAATAAGCCAAAGAAAATTAATACATAGGATCTATTAAAGCCAAATCGGCAATAACAAAATATAGGATTGAACCTCTTTAAGCAACTGTTTTGTATTAAGAACGCGCAATATCAATTTCTATTTTCTTAACTTCTGCTTCTGTGATATTTTCTTTTACAATCTCTGATGTTTTTTTTGAAAGCTTCAGATTTTCTATTAGTTCTACATCATCTAATATCATTCCTTTTGAACTTGTTAATAATTCAAGTATTTTATCTTCATTTTTCTTTAATTATGTTTTTCCTTCAGCTATCGATATTATAAGTTCATTTTTGACTTATTCAACTTCTGGCATTTCTTTTTTGACTACATCTCCAAGTAATTATTCTTCTAAACCTAGTTCAGTTACTGTAAAATTTATTACTGTTACGCGAATGAATATTTCAGGTAGGAAATTTGGGTTAGGAATTTTTGTTTATATATACAGTTTGAAGTTTTTATCATATTCGACATCTGAATCCCCTATTTTTAAAATTTTTCGTCTATTTACATATGTAAATTGTTTCATTAATAAAGGTTCTAATGTAGCTTCTAATGTTTCTTCCATATCTTCAATCATTAAAGGTTAACCCTTATTAATTTATTTATAAAATAATAATAAAAAAAAAATACCATTCTAACACATTATTCAAGAGTTTAAAATAGTTTTTCATCATTCATTTTTAAGCAAAACATATTATTTTATTATTATAAATTTTTTATCCATCTTGAAGCTTATAATTATGGATCAATTAAAAGAGGGAAAGATCTACATGTATGAACTAGAATTCCATTGTTTACAGAAACACTATCTGAAGGTAATCCTTTTGCATTCCAATTTCGAATTTCTACAGGTTCTCCAAAAACTTGATCCAAAGAATAATTTTCAGAAGTTTAAATCTATTCAGCTTAGCATTTCTCAAGCCATTTTTGTACCAGATTTTCTCTATAAGTGCCTGTAAAAGGCCCATAATAAGTAACTGACGCTGAAGCAACAAAAACATCTGCCAATAAAAGCTTAATTTAACCCCCTAATGATTCTACTGTTTCTTTCCAACGCACTTATTCATCTGCTAAACCAACAGTTAATTCTTCTGCACGAACTAATCTATCAGCAGTCTTTTATATATCTTAATCTAAACGGTCTTTTTCTTATTTATTTTCGTTATATTCACGTTCTAACTTGCCAACTTTTTCTTCTACTTTCATTAGTTCACCTTATTTTATAGCTAATTCTTTATTTGCTTTATCCAATTCAACGTTCATTTTATCAACTACAGATTTCTTTGCTTAAATCAATTTATTTACCTCTGTAAAATTAGCGACAGCTCTATAATTCATAAATAATATATTAAATAATTAATTATTTATATATATATATATTAATATTTATTTTTTATTTACATAACCCATTCACATATAGCCTTTGCAGCAGCCTAAACAGTCGCTAATTTCGTAGGATTGAAATTTTCATTAGAAGCTATTTTCGCTTTTATATTTTTTTCTACTTTGGGTGTTATATTATAGACATCTAAGTTTTTCATTTTTGATACTAAATTAGGATCTGCTAATAACTAATAATTTTTATATTTTATTAATTTATTTTTATATTTAAAAATTACTTTCTTTATACCATCCCAATCTTGCTTTTCATCAAAAAGACAAGCAACGCATTATAATGTAAATAAAACTAATTCATTTGGATTATTATTTGCTTTTATTTCTGATATAACTTTCCTGTCTAAAATATTTAATGCTTCGTTTGCTGCTTAGAGCATAGGAAGAGCAGCTTATAAAACTTTATCGGCTTCATTTTTCATTTCTCTTATTTCTTAAGCCTTATCGTTTACCTGAGCTTCTTCTTCTTTAACAACTACTCTAACTTTGTTAGCCTCAAAACTAAAAAAACAAATTTTAAAAACATATATAAAAATAAAAAAAACCTATCAATTTCCAATTTTTTGATAAGCTCATCTTATTCTATGGTTTTTTTTTGTAAAACAGGTTATAATTCTGTTAGTTTTTCTTTAAGTTCTTTAATAATATCATTCGCTTCTTTTAATTTATAGAGCCCACTACTTAATTTATTTTTCTAAGTATCTAATGATTCTTATTTATTTTTAAGTAATTCTTTATAACCTTCAATCAAATCAATATAACTTTTGGGTGTAATATAAACCCTCCTTCTTAAATTTTTAAAGAACAATTATGCTTCTTCTTCCACACTTTAATGAACAAAAACACAGCATTTCGCAAGCTATTTTTTCTTTTCTTTAGTCAATCCTTCAACTTCTAGATTTTCTAAAAACATTACTGCAACAGTATTAAGTGCCTCCTCTGGCCAAGGATTAAGCCAATCAATAGTACAGCAGTTTACAATTGAAGGGAACATTCTCATTCTTACTCTTAAAGCATTTCCTATAGGAGACATTGCTAGAACTATATGCAGTTAACTTCTTACTCTTTCAACAAAAAGTTAATATGTATCACTTCTTTTTAACTCATTTGCATCCTAAGCTAATGCATTATTTATTTCTTCGATTTCATCCTTTAATAACATATTTGGAACTTCTCCGCTATTTAAAAGATTATTTACATCTTCTAAAAACCCTTCTTATAAAATCTATGTATCAGCAAACAAAAATACAACCTAACGATTTTAAATACCTGCTCTTTTCATCATTTTTAGTAAGTCTTCTTTAAATTCTTTCTTCCCGTATACTTTTTTAGGTTCAATACTCATTAATTCACATCCTGCTAATGCTGCTGCAACTGTTGTAACGCTTTTCTTACCTGAACCTCCAACTCCTACTAACATAAAATGTCCTCTTTAAAGTGAAAGTACCCTTGCGATTCTTGACATATGTTCAACAGCATCTCTAAATAAAACAAGTGAAATTTTTGTATCTTCTAACATATAATCTTCTATTATTTTTGTTAATTTTTAAAAGTCCTTTACTTCTTCATAATTACGATCTTCCCTATCTAAACCTTTTTTTAAAAAATCACTAAAAATAAGAGGCACTTCTCCGTTGAAGACTTATTCTTTTTTCCAATCTAACTTGAAATTCATAATGACTTACTTACATGCATTTTCCATAAACCATTACCTATCTTATTCATTTATAAGTCGATCATGGAATACTCTTGCACACTCATGAATCCAAAGTTTAGCCAAATTTTCTACCGAAACAATTATATTCGGCTTTGCATTAAGAATTCCTTAAAATACTTTTGATACATCTCTTAGATTAAATATATAATGTTATTTTGAAGGCGTAGGTAATAGCTATTCTGATATATATTAATACATATTCAGTGTTGCGTTTACTACTCCTTCATTTTCTCCTAATTCTATTATTTCTTTCTTGAATTTTTTAACTTACAAAAATCCTTTGAATATACTACTAAATATATGAGTTAAAGAGGCCGTTTGATTATCTGGAACGGTCATTATTGTGAAGTGTCTAGTAAATCTTTCAGTTAAAGAACTACGACCACCCCCAGGCGGTGCAGCAGCAATAATAAGTACAGTCTATTCAATTTCTTTCCAAAACAAATTTTTACGATCATATACTCCTTTGTAATCTTAGAACTGTCTTAAAAGTTCAATTGGAGGCTGAGCCCCATAAACTTCTACACTTGGCATATTAATATCATCAACAAAAATAACAAGACTTCTTCCGGGAGGAGGCATAAGTACAGTTTTTTTATTTTTTCTTTGGGTTTATAATTTGTTTTCAATCTAACCTTATGTAGCTTTAGCTGAAGTTTTGGCCGAAAAAGTCATTTCACAAGTTGAGATTAAATTTTATTCTTTCATCTAATTTAAAGTGCTATTAATAATGATAGTCTTTCCAGTACCAGTCATTCCTGTAATAAATACAGGTTAGAGAAGGGTAATTGACTTTTCTAAAAACCAAGAATAGCAAACTGTATCTGTAGTAGGCACTACTAACGAGAAATATGAAGAATCTGCAAAATATTCAAATTCTGGAATAATTTCTGACCAAGAAATAAATTCTCCTTCAGATTTCGATAAAGTGAAATAATAATCAAAAACAGAACCTCTTGGAATAACATCAGTAGAAAAAATTTCTACTAATCCATTTTGGAAATCTTTAATACTAGAGCTTGATATGCAACCTCCTATTCCCCAAATAATCGACCAAAATATTAACTTCTCAATAGCTTTTTTTGCATTCTCTTACATTATATGATCTTTATAAGGATCCAAACTTAAAATAAGCTTTATGTTTCTACACACTGATATTGCTAGATTTGTATCTACAATTTAAATGGTATATTTAAATTTCTTCTTTTTTATATAAGATAATGTTTTTTTGAAGTACATATTAAAATTAAGCTTTAAATTTTCTTTGTTTTGTTCATTTTGTTTTATTAAAGGATAAATTTCTTTTTAAAAACAACTGTCTACTGTAGCTTCATACCCTACGACATCGGAATCAATATAAACCATTCCACAACGTGATACTGTAGCAGGTGAGGCTACAGCTAAATCTTGAACTTCGAATAACATTTTCATTTATGGTTTTAATTTTATACGTTCTCCATTTGATAAACATAATGTCATTGAGTCATCTAACACACTATTCATATTTTCTATCCATAAAGCATCTACAGGTCCATCAAAAACAACCTTTTTTATTTAAAATTTATTATTATTATTATTATTAAATATATTTAATAATATAATTTTTTTAAAACGTATAAAGAATAATTTATATTTATCATTTACCCATTTTTTATCTGAATTTTCAATATTAACATATTCTCTTATTATTGTAGATGCTAAGCCATCATTCCATGCTTATGACAACGGATCAAATTCTCCATAAAGTTCTTCCATAGAAATTGATTTTGGATTAAGGGTACTAATTAAAATGTTTTAAAAATCCGGATGAGTATTAATATTGTTAGGTGTGTTTGAACGAATTTATTCATTCAAATGCATATAAGCTTATCTTAAAATTTCAATACATTTTGATTTTCCTCCCATGGTAGGTCCAATAACCATAACACCGAATCTAACTTTAAGCGTTTCATGAAATTACAAGACTTTTTCAATAAAAGTAGGTATTTGATTAACTAATAAAAAAATAAATTAACAAAAAATTATCAAAAAAAATTAAAATACGTTAATCATATTAAATCCTTAATCTAATAGCTTCTTCCAATCTTTCATTTTACATAGCGGGAATATTCGTTCCTGGGAAAAGATCTTAAACTATAGCATTAAAAAGAGGAATATCATGACTCAAAAACTTAGGAACATTAGAATCTCTCATAGCTCTAATCAAAACAATGTCTTCAGTTATTTCTGGTTCAGCCCTTTTGAGTGCTCCAGCCATTACAAGGACACTCTTAACAGCTCTCATACCAAAATCATAATGATCTTATTAGGATAACTATTCAGAACTCAATTAATATAATTTAGTCATTTTTCTGGATAAATCTTTCGCGTTAGAAAATCCTTCTGCAAATAACATAATTTCAGCAATAAGTGTATAATCTGGAACCATCATAGCCACTGGTCTAAACAGAATTTTTAGATTATCTGGAAGTTCAGTTCTGCCAGCATAACCTGGGTTCATAGTTGTAAAGATACCCATATCGGCAGTTAATCCTAAAGTTATATTTTTCCCAAAAAAATTGAAAGACCTATCATTTAATTATAATTGCGAAATTCTTAAATGCGCTTCTCTTATTGTGAGTACTTATTAAGCTATAACAGAAAGAACTTCAATATCTATTCTATTGAATTCATCCAAACATGTCCAAGAGCCTGTGTAACATAATCCCATAAACAATTTTTCCATCATTTTTACATTTATTTAATCCGAACAATTAAACACGATACAATATTTTCCTAGAGCTTTTGCTAAATCTTTGCAACTTTCTGTTTTCCCTGTTCCTGCTGGTCCAGCAGGGGCAGCGCCTAATTTTATGCCTAAAGCTCCTGTTATAGTCATCCAGCAACGATCAGTTAAAGGAGTTATTACGAGCCTTGGCTAAGCGCCTATATATTCATATCCATAAGGAAGCTTAGCATTTACTTATCTACAGAAAATAGAATCATCTTCTATATACAAACGAAGTTATTGCTACCACTTAAACTCATCCATTGATTCTACACCAATTTAGGCTAATTCTTCTATTATATCTCGATAATGGACATCTTATACAGCCAAAGCAGATAATGTTTTTCTTTATAAATCTGTCAGATCTCCTCTTATCAATTCTGTTAATTCCTCCAATTATGCTTTTTTTAATTTTAATTTATATTTTATATATATTTTTTACATATATTTCCTTCTAACCAATCAAATAAATCTCCATCAGCATCTGGACTTAAATAATTCTCTTCGGTTATTTTTGTCCAATAAATTGCATCTAATACAAGGACCACTTGGGAAGGGAAATTTAAAACCCATTAAGATCTTTGAGTATCATCGTCTTCATATTTAATAAGGGCTGATCTAATAACTGCTTTTAATGAATATTTCATAGATTCCTCTAAATCTTTAAACCATCCTTCAACTTCTTCCCCTCTTGCTTAATAATTTTTCAAAGCCACTCTTTCACCTTCTGCAGAAATCATAGCTCTATGAAAAAATAAAATAAAAAAATAATAAAAAAAAAGGTATACAAAACACAATCAGATTAATCAAAATCAAGTTTAACAATATTTTCAAAGCATTTTCTGAGATTTTAAACAACAGACTTTAAATTTTTTGCTTAAGAAAGAATTTCCAATAGTTCATCATTAGACAAGAAAAAAAATCTTTAAAATACTTCTCTTTTTTTCTCTAACAATTCATCTAAAGCTTTTTAAATGACTTCGAAAGTTTTATTATTATTTTTAAGAGTATTTAAATACTATCTTGCTTGATAATCTTCAGCCCATTTTTTTACATTCGGGTAATCTCTTGCAGTCTTCATTAATCTTTTCCAACTGGTATCTGCATTATTGAATATTTTTACTTCTTTTGCCATATTTTTCTGAGCATAAACTGAACAAAGAATAGGTTCTAAATAAAGCCAATTTCTTTAATGTGTATACCATTCATCAATCAATTCTTGCAAATATCTAAAAAGCTTTAATTATTTTTCAACCCTTCCATATAATTCTTTCTACAAATCTTGAAGCTAAAATATTATTTACAACAAGTAATGTATCATCCATTTTAGCTATTAAATCTTCGTTATTTCCTAATTATAAAAGCATCTGCTCTATCTTTATAATTGTTCACGATCAATTAACTTCCAATCCAAAAACCTTCCACATTTCTTATCATTTTTATTAATTCTGCCTCTTTAGCTGCTTTTAATGCAATTTCAGCTATATGGTCTTTAAATTAGACTATATTATTCTTTTTTATCCAACCTAAATTATATTTTGGATCTTTTAAATCACAAAAAGGAATTCCTTCTTCTTTAGGTAATTTGCCATTTTCTAATATTAATTATCTTATTTCTTCCCAAGGTTCTTCTGTCAAAGCCGGATCTTTAAGAGAGCCTAAAAGGGATAAAAAAATTTTAAAATCTTCAATTTCTTATTTAAAAACTCTGCTTACATCATTTGTTTCTAATTCTTTTGCACATTAATTTGATGTTTTGGATAATTTTTCTACTGTTTAGCTTATTTCTTCGATATTAATTTCCCCAAATTAAATATCTTCCCATTTTTAAATACTATTTTTCCAATCTTTTCTTCCCATCCATAACTTTTCAATTAGTTAAAATTCTCTTTGAAAAATATCCATTTTTTCAAACTAAGTAATATCAACTTACATAGAAAATTAAAATTGATTTATTTTTTTACTTTATTCGACTATTTAATTTAATTTTTTCGATATCTTTATTTATTATTTTTTTAAATAAAAAATTAATATATTTACTTATTCTATTTATTCACATGTTTAATCTATAGGAGCCTCTAATTTTGCATAATCTACTTTTTATAAAACTAATTCTAATTCTTTTACTTCCTCTTATATTCCCGGAACCATTTATTCAAGTTGTTTTTAAAATTTTTTAGAGTTTTAATCAGACGAAGCTTAAGCGTCACTAACTTTTTGTCTTAAAGTTTACATTTGTTATTATGCTTCTTTGACTTTTTACTTATATACATCTGGTAGTCTTATTTTATGTTCATCAATAAGTAACAATAATTCTTAGATATCTGCATTTTCTGAAGTTATTTCTTCAATTTTATTGCTAATATCGTTAACTTATTCATTATATTAAACGAATTATTCAACATTAATTGGAGCCAACGCGATTTTTTGATTAAAATTATTTAATTTTATAAGAAAGTTTTTAGATTTTTAGTAAAGTAGTTCAGGCATTAATTTAGTTAATTCATTAAGACAATTATTTGAAATATTTTTAATTTTATCTTTTAAAGCCATATTTTCAAAATAAGCAATCCCAAGTTCTTTATTAGGTTCAATAGCTTAGAATTTTAAATCTTATTCTTTGAATTTTTCAATCATTTTTTTAAATTAGTCATTTTCATATTATTCTACCAAATCCCATTAAATATTCAAATTTTCAATATAAATTTCCAAAAATGGTACCAAAAACTATGCATAATCTTATACATAGTTAAATGCTTTATTAATTACTTGAACTATTTCTAATTAACTTTATCTATATAAACTATCATTATTTATAATTTAAAATAAGTCTGTACTATCTTTATAAGTTTTTTGTTCACTATTACTTCCTTCATCTGTTCGTACATATTTACTTATATCTTTTTCATTAATAAATTATTTGTGCTTATTACATATTCTTTAAACACTTTTACTTACTATTTCTTCAAATATTCTTCTAAATACATCTCGATTTGGTGTAAATTATAATTCAGGTCCAATATGTGAAGCATCAATAATTATCATACTAGATAAATTTTAGTAACCTTCTTAACAATTATCGTTTAATTCGTTTACATCTATATTTTTTATATTTAAATTTTAAATAATAAATATATAATACGTTTAATAACAGCATGAGTAGAATTATTAATCATTTTAATTTTCGAATCTACAGCAATGTAATCGACTAACCTAACAAATTTATTTAATCTTTTATAATATGTTCTTATTGTAGCTTCTTAAGTAAAAGGCATCTCCTTACCAGTTTCATCTCCAACTAACAAAGGTGTTTTTTATTTAAATTTTGATTCATCTTATTTAGTTTCCATGGAAGGAATTCTATTTTCTTCTTTAAAGACTTCAAGACTTTTGGAACAATTATTAAGAATAATATCTTTAATATTATTCTCGAGTTTCTCAAGTTTAAAATCAGTAGAAGAAATTCTGAAATTTTCTTAACTTTTTTTAAATTCTTCATATTTTTAAGGCGGTCCCATACTTAAATCTACATATGAAAATTCTTAGCTTTCCAAACATAAATTTCTAATTTCCAAAAGAGCAGGCTATAAATTTCTATCAACAATAAACAATTGTTAACTTAGAACATATGAGCATTCCCTCATCATATTTCTCCTCATTAATTTCTTCCATAAAGAAAAGTTCTTCCATTTCTTATATTGTTTAAAAAATTCTATTTCTAATAACTTATAAAACATTTAAGATTCTCTTTCCCATTCTTATATCGTTTTAAAAACAGCTTCATCATTTACAAAATGAGTTACTCCTCGAGCTGAAATAGTCATATATTCATGAGTATTTCTTTTATCGAATTCTACGATTTTGAAATCATAAGGATTGGAACATTTATTTAAATAACAAAATTCATCAGCCATTTCTGGATCTGTTCGTATTAAATGAATAAAATCCATAGGGGTTAAATAATCTTATTATTATTCTTGTTACTGATGTGTACTTAATTATCCTTTTTTATGTCTAATATTAGTTTTTACTTTTTTTTATTCGTTCATAAAGCTTTTATTAGTTGTATCTTATTCATTTATAGCTTGAAGTTCTTTAGTTAAATTTATTTCATCTAAAATTTTCTATCCACTTTCTGAAAGTTAAGATTTGTTTATTTTTAGTAATTTCTGGTTTTCTTTTGACTTTAAGTTTACTATAACGTTGCTTGTATTAGTATTTAAATTTTTAGAAGAAAATAATTAATTTTGTCTTTGTTAAGTTTTTCCTTCGTTTGTTATTATTGATGCGTCATTCCTTATAAAAGAAATCTAATTTAACCCTTAAACTGATTATTATTCTTATATTCTTGAAATCATACTATCAGTATATAAATTTCCTCCTCCTTATTAATATAATTTTGATGTATCTACTAAAATTTTTCCTTTATTAAAATATACTGACGATATGCCTTCTTTGTGTTCATATAAAGCAGGTAATTAATTTGATTTTAATATTTTAGGAATTAATAATTAGCTTCGGTCATGTATAAATAAGCGATTAGTTAATATTGATTGATTTATATTTTTTTAATCATTTATTATATTGCTATCAATTCTTTTTTTTCTTTGACTTCCGCTCTTATTTTTAATAATCTAATTTTTTAATAATTAATTAATTTGTATTTTAAAATATTATTTTTCATTTATTTTACAAAATTTGGATTTTATATATGCTAGCTATTTGTTAAGCTTGTGCTTGGATATAAGCGAGAAACCAATTTTTTTTTTTTTTGTATTTCATTTACTTATAGAGATTCGTCCATTTTTTAATTTTACTTATATTTTGTTATGATAAAATATAAAACTATTAACTATAAATAAAATTTAATAAAAAAATAATTATAGAAATAAATCATTTTAATTTCTCTATCAAATACATTAATTAAATAAAACGGTTTTATAAAATAATTACTATTTTATTTGTTAAAGCAAATATATATAAAATGTTAGAAATTATTTAAGAATTTTGTTAAACAAAAATAAAAAATAAATTAAATATTATAAAGTTAAAAAAAATATAATAATACATTATTGTAATAATTATCTTTTAAAAATATATATAAATTTAATTTTTTTATATTATGCCTATAATATATTATAAATACACACATTATATATTTTAAAATATTATACATTATTTAATTTTCATTTATAAAGGAAAATATTAATTCTATTTACACTCTTTTAAATAATATATATTAATTTTTTATAAGTTAATATTATTTAATTCAAGTGAAAAATTGATTTAATTATTATGTTAAGAAAACTTAAAAAAATCAAAAAACATTGCAAAAAAGCAAATAAATTTTTAAATAAGTCAATCAAAAAGTAAACTGAAAATTATAATAAATATATAAAAAAAAAATTAAATAAATTTTAAATTTAACACAATCATAAAATAAACAATAATTCTAAATCCAAACAAAACTTGATAAAACTCAAATAATAACCCAAATTCCAGTAATCAAAACCGAAATCTGACCCAAACCCTAAGCCTAAACTCGAACTTCAACATAAGTTTTCCCTTTTTTCATATACACATACATATTAATTTAAACAAGAACAAAATTATATAGGTTAACTTACCATAATAATAGTATTATTAATACGGTGTATCCTCAAAATATTTTCAACTTCAAAAACAACAAAAAATGTATAATCGCCTTATTTTTTGTTGTTGATTGAGTATTAAGTTTTTTATAAAAAAAATACAGAAAAAACCAAATAAAACTTTTCAAAAAATAATAATATAAATATATGATTTCTATTTTAAATAAAATATCGGAATTGCTAATATTTTTAGGTTGCAGATATTATTTTTATATATTGATTTTTATTTTTGTTAATGTTATTACTAAATGGCTCGCAATTTATTTAAATGATAAAATATGTCCAAATAATTTATTAGAAATATTATAAAGCTTAAATGAATATTATTTAACTTGTATTTAAAAAAAAAAATACTATTATTGAATAATAATAAAAAATATCAAAATAATAATAACCTTAAGTGAATATTTTTAAAAAAATAATTAATTTTTAATAAAATTTAATTAAAATATAAATAAATATTATTATTTTATAAAAAGCGTGAATATAAATATAATAAAAAAAAATTAAATAATTGAAATATATATTAACTAAGATAATTTACATTAATTCTTTATATAATAATATAGATAAATTTGTATTAAAATACTGATTAATTCTATTTTATATTTATTTATTTTAAACAAATATATTTAATATTTACATTAACAAATTAAAAATTCTTAACAAAAAAAACTAAATATTTAAATATATTATTTTTAAAAAGTATAAAATACTAATACAAGATTATTTAAGTTCTTGTTAAAATAACACTTATTACTCGAAAAATGATTCCTAAAAAGTAAGACAGTCTATAAACTATAGATTTTAAAAATAAAGCATAATTATTAGAGCGATTATTAGAAAAAGAAGAAAAACATATAAATCGTTTGAAATTACAAAATACATAATTAAACAAGGTAAAAATAAATCATATTTAAATAAATAAACAAACAAAAAATAATAAAAAAAGTAATTACAATCACAACAAATGTAAAACAGAAACTAACATAATGATATATTAAATTACTAACGAAAATTGAACAAAGCAAATTAAAAAATAAAAGACTTATAAGATTAATTGAAAAAAGATTAGAAAAAATCATGTTAATATTAAAATTAATTGTAAAAAATAATGACAATGCCATTCATTTAATCGTATTTATAATAGCAATAATTAAATGAATCTTTGTTTTTATAAAATCTTAACAATAATGAAATTTAGAATAATACAAACCAAACTACATTAAGCTAAGATTCATAAAATAACGATAGTTTAAATACTGATCATCATGAAAATTTAACAAAATCAGTTAAATTTAAATTAAATAAAGGTATAATATAAATAAAAAACAATTAATAAAAATATATAAAATAGACCAAGAGTTAATAAAAGTGATTTCTAATTCAATTGTGGCAAGAAACTATTAAAATTAATTAAATATTTTATAATAATAATAAAGTTTAGATTTGGATAACTAAATTAAAAATGAAACTGATATATCTATTTAAGATCGAATTATTTTGGAAATTAATAAATAATATGTTACAGATAACAATGAAGAAGAAGAAAAATAATAATAAAAATAAAATTTAAGAAGATAAACTTAAGTTATTTTTAATCGATAAATTTCAAAAGGATTAACTTTTAAATCATTATAGAATAGTCAAATATAAGAAAATTAATAAATTTAAGAAAATTAAGATTAAGAATAATAAATATAATAAAATTAAAAAAAAATTAGTTTATTTGAAAAGTTATATGTATTAGGATTTGATAAACAAGATATGAAAGAATTCGATTAAAATCAATAACTAGAAGAAGTTCTATTACCAGGAAAAGTAATATACTAATTTCCTAATAATAAAGAAAAAAAGTATGATAGGTAAAAATAAAAAATATAATAAGTAATAATATATTAATAAAAAAGTGTATAAATAAATATATATAAGTGTAATTATATATATATATATATATATGATCATATATATATATATATATATATATATTTATATATATATATATATATATATATTTATTTAATATACTCCTTTAATTTTTATATATTTTTTATATTTATTTATTTTATTTTTTTCTATTTATTTATTAATTTTTCTATATAATTTAAATATTACATTATTTTATTCATATTAAAATAAAATATATTTAAATAAAATTAACCTGTTTATCTTTTTTTTATAGCTAAATAGTTAAAGTTATTAATGAATTTGCTTTTTCAACAGGATTAAGAGTTTAAAAAATATAAATGAATAAAATAAATTCATTTAGATAAATTAAAGAGTAAATTCATTTTAATTTTATTTGTTATATATAATAAAATATATATTAGAATACTTTTTTATGGATCTAAAATTGAATTTGCTGATAAATTTTTTATGTTTACACTAAAGAACGAATAATTTTATTTTAATAATTAATAATAAAATAATAAAATAATAAATTAAATAAATTCGCATTTAATATAATACTGTTTTTGTTTAAAAGTTAAAGATTATATTGAATCTGTAAAATAATTATTTTAATTTCTTTAAAAAATTTAAATATAGACAGACGATAATGAATAAGCCTTCTTAATTTAAAATAAGCACAAAAGAAAATTTTGGAAAGGATATAAAGTATATATGTTTGTAACATATTTTCCTTTTTTTGAATTATTTTAAGAATTATTATTATCATTAATAAGTAAATCATAAAAAAAAAGAATCATTTTTAATATATATATATACAAATAGATTAAATAAAATTTGAAAGAATAAATAAATATAATCAATAAAAATCAAAAGAAAAAAAATATTATACGATTTAGATGCATAATCAATAAAAACAATATTAAAGTAATTAGAGTATATTCTTTTAGAATAAATGCAAGTTAATGTAACTGATTTTGGCTAAGTTTTTAATATAAATGCAATAATACGAGAAATACCCTATATTACAGCTCAAAAAGAAAATATTCATTCAAAAACTCATAAATGGAGTTTGGCTTTGACAATATCAAATATAACATTATAGCAATTTATATTCATATTACATTCTATATTATTAGAATAAACAATAATATTTTATAGCAAAAGCGAATGCATATTAACTTCAACAATGTAAAATTTAAATATTATTTTTATTAATATAACATAGCCATACTTTCGAATAATTAATATATCCTTTTTAATGGCCACATCCTATAATATATTTATTGCCTGAAAGTTTAATTGAATTATTAGACTCTCCAGTACCTTTAATTTTAGGAATAAATAGGTCTAAT